ATTATGCGTAATAGATTACACAAAAACACTTTTCGAAAACAGTCAAAAAGGAAAAACACGTATATATCCAACAATAAGCACAAGTCTTTACTTTTTTGGCACGTTGAAATCCTATTTCTTCTTGAAGAACAAAGTTCGACGTATTGGTTTTTTTTTTTCTTTCAGTGCGAAGAAAAAAAAATATTATATAGTCCACCTAGAGTTGAAAAATTCTCCACTCAGCGTTATGAATGAATCTCTCGTCGCCACTGTTATGATGTTAATTTAGGGTTAATAAAGACAAACGCCAAATAACATGTAACAATAAAAAGGGGTTTATTCGGTTGGTAAGTAGGTACAGAAATCGCTTGAGTAGTCTATAACTAACTCAGCTAAGAACTTCTCCGACACTGTCTTTTGACATACCACTATTTAACGTCCTTGTTTGTAGACGAGTTCATCTTCAAGAGGGGTGGTAGGTTCCTACACAACAATAGCCCAAATAAATAGTTTAAATACCCTACAAAAAAGATAACCCTTTATGAAGTCGTCAAAAAACAAACGTTACGGCAGTTTTTTTTTATATGCACAAATCCCTTTCATAAAAAAATAAAATAAAAAAATAAATAAATCTCCTTAGACAAGCATACCAGACTAGGGTTAATATATCTTCCGTTTCAAATTTAGACACCCCCACCTTTCCCTGACTTGACATCCATGAAAGTAACTCTATACTGATACTTATTATTAACACCCAACACTCGCCTACCCAATTTAAACAATTCGCCCTAGCTGTTACCATGGAAATTTTGATTTCAATTATTAAAACACGTAAATTTCAGAAATACGTTATTCCAAAAAAAAATTTTGCTTGAAGATGGAACAGAGCTTACTTTAACTCAATTTAATTCAAATAATTATATTGAAGTTTTCGGCTATTATTTTGAAACATGAGACCTCTTATGTCGCGAATTGGAATCATATTTTTAAATAAATAATTATATTTATGCTCTACTTCTATATCGAGCACTATTTTTTAAAATAATAAAATACTAAAATACTAAGGGACTTTGGATTATTTACCTAACCAGCTCCTTCCAATTGTATATATATATATATATATATATATATATATATATATATATATATATATATATATATAGTCAAATCACGCTGAAAACAAAATTCGTAGAGCCAGGTCAGTACTTAGATGGGGGACCGCTTGGGAACACCTGGTACTGTAAGCCCCCAAAGTCCACCCCTTACCTCACAGTCGGTGGGGGGGGTGTAAACAGTAGTGTCAGAGCTATACCACCCGGACAGGTCTGACACACACGCCGGCTAACAAGGGCTCTGGTGAAAATCCAGGAGCGTCTGCATCGGTAACCGGCGGCTTCTGGTCGTTCCTGTCTCTGCGTCTGTGGGAACCCCTGCGGCAAGCAAGAACGTTATCCGAGTAGGCCTGGGTACCCTACTTCTGTAATTTATCCCAAGAATCTTCTCATAATTGGAAGAAGCCAGCTCAATCCGCCCAGGTGAATGCCGCATCAGTACAGTACAGTATATATATATATAAATGGTGGTACTACTCGTTCAGAAAAAAAACCTCGGATAGCTCAACTTGCAGTAGAACAAATCGGTACCCGAGGAAAAATAGGGAATAAAAAAAAGAAAGAACCAAGAACATTAAAACAAGGAGAAAACAATCGTCAAGTGTTTAAGCTCCAAGTCCAAAGAAAAAAAAAACAAAACGAGTAAAAAGACAACTACGTAAAGTGCTCAATACACTAAGTAGGACAAAACCTAAGATCAGATAATCCTAATGAGCCAGGCAAACCTACCTAGGTTAGGTTTGCCTTATAAAATTAGGATTAACTGATCATATATATATATATATATATATATATATATATATATATATATATATATATATATATATATATATACACTGCGCCAAATTATTATCGAGATAACTTTTATAATATTTTAAAAAAACCGTTCGATCAATTCACACAAAATTTTCACACAATGTTGGCAATACTGAACTGCGCAATCACTGAAATTTTCGTACTGATCTGCGCAATGTAAACAAACTGGCGCCATATTTGTTGTCAGCACGGTGTTTTAAGCGTGCCAAATTACTAGAAAAGTGTAAGAATTTAGTAAAAAGATGGGCCGTAAAAGCAGTTTAAGTGATGCTGAAAAGAAAACTATTACCTCAGAACTCTCAAAAGGTAAATCTACCCTAGAAATTTTTAAAATGATAGGGAAGTGTCATCAAACAGTAAAATATTCACCGCCGACCCTACTCTGTCTCTGTCTCTCTCTCTCTCTCTCTCTCTCTCTATATATATATATATATATAATGAATATAATAATAGTTGACTACTTTTTTATCTTCTATTCCTTTTACAAAAAATAATTCATTATCAAAACATACAAAAAGTAATTAAAAAAATAAGCTTCCTTTGCATGATCTGGACACTGGCCTCGCTCCACGGATCACCATTTTGAGTAGCACTGGTTTACAGTACATTGCTTCTCTAAACATATGATTTTTGTTTTCTTTTTCTTTCTACTCCGAATTCTCTTGTGAGTATTAAGTTTTTCAAGCCGTCTCTTCTCATAATGCATCTCAGAAATTTCAAATGTCTCTTTTTTTATTTTAATTGTAAGTGTATCTCTAGCAGCCATGTCGTTCCCTCCGTGTTCTTTACAAGTTATTCTTAGTATCCATTAAACATCTTCCGCTTTGAGTCTCTTCGAGTCTGAAAGGAAGCCTTCCAGTGTTCACTGGTTCTTAGATGTTTAGTTCTGATTTATTTTCTTTGTTTTGTTTTCTGATTATTCCAATGTCTTAATTTCTGGAAATCTTCATTTCCTATTGCATCCCACCTTCAGTTCTCTGTCACACTTCCTCTTATTACACTACCCCGTAAGAATCCTTTATCTCTTTGCTTCTATTGTCTTCAGTCCAAAGCTCGCAGCCACTCGTGCCGTCGGCCATACATTCTGCTTTGACCTAAAACTAAAAAAAAAAGATAAACTTTGAACAGTTGTTCATAAATTTGATTAGAATGTACAACTGCTTCTACGCAAACCGTAAAATGTAATAAAAACAGAACAGATTTCTCCGATCGATTTCATTAAAACAAGTTTCAATGAATTCTTTGTGTTTATATATATATTATTGAAATATATATGTATGTATGTAAGCATTGGTTAAGTTTATGTATAAGTATTTCTTTTATAATAGACGGATATTTATATATATATGTGTGTGTGTATGATTATAAAAAAAAGCATACAGCATTTCTCACATCATATGTATTTAGTGGGCATTGCTTTGTTCATACAAATTTGATTATCAATCGAAGATAAGACTATTTTAATGTTTATCTAATTTTTCTTGTTTTCACACAAAAGGATGCGTGTCTGGATACATATAGCCGCCACTACACAATATAATTTGATATTTTGCTGGTCAAATTCGTACTTATATTAATGGAATTAATATATTAAGATATGATATTCTAAGTATTCTATGCGACAAATACTTGTTAAAACACGCCCTACAGCTTTAAATGAATATTTTAAAAAATGCTTACGATATTTAAAGAAAGCTAAACACATAAAAATGTTCAGTTTTTGCTCCGGTGCTGTGTATTTCTTCAACAGATATAACCATATCACTATAATACTTTAATGGGTATGTCGTTTCGTCCATAACTTTATCAATACGCACAAAAGTGAACATGACAATTTCAAAAATTAACGTATTTTTCGGCTTACAAGACGCTGCCTCTTGGAAGACGCGCCCTAATATTGGAAAGCAATTTCTAAGAAAAAAAAAGTCATTCTCATGCAACAACACATTCACCATACATCCCCCACATACTGGCGACACATATTGTTTATATCAATCACTCGTCCGATTTTGTTTTTATGGCAATGGCATACTAGTCAAGAACAGAAAGGTTTCCGTCTCTGCTAGTAAACAGAGCATGTTTAAGCTTGTGGCTCGACTCCAGGAAGAATTATAGTCTTGGAAATATTTGTAACAGCTAAGTACTGAGGTTACATCATATAAAAGGCTGAATTAGATTCTGGTATAATGACTCAACATATAAAGTGAAGCTGATTAGGTGACCGTTCAAGCTTACTTGAGCTTGAGCGTTGCCTTACATTCGTCTTGGAAGATGCACACGTATTTTTCAGGTTATTTTTTAAGAAAAAATTGCGTCTTGTAAAACGGAAAATACGGTCAATATTAAAAATCAAGCATTGTGATCTTGATAATGTCTACAGATAGGGTCGAAAGTGCTATATCCCTTACTTTTTAATAGTAATTAAATTCACTGTATCCAGGATTAGATTCTATGCTTTAAAAAAAAAAGTTACCAGAAAATTCCTTGTCATCCACCTTTAATTAAATAGATAAAAAAATAGATGTACAAAAGGTGATATTTACATGGGTAAGGTGATGGCCGCTTAGTGACGTTACTGTATTCAGTGACGAAAGTGGACAGTCATTCAGTCGGTTTACAGCAACCAAACCGAAAGTTCCAAGCTGAAGTTAAATCTGCGCCCCCAGAAAATGTTACAGCTTATAAGAACCTGGTGCCGTTTCCTTTGGGGATACATGTTCCCCAGATAGAAAAAGAAGCTCCAGATTGCAGTCTGCAGTTGCAGGTTTAAGGAAAACCATAGACTCGCTGTTTCCTTTTCTTGGAATATGCCATCGCCTGGGACATAGTAGATTAACCTGACCTGCTTGAATCTGGTACACAGATGAATCTCCATATTATTTTTAAGACCCTTTTTTTTTCGTTGCTTTTTCACTTGCTTCCTTTCAGCCATTCCGTTTCGTCGGTGAAACAGTGTTCTTATATAAATATGGATACAATAATACATATAATGAGCGAAATAAACATGGGAGAAAAATAAATCTTTCTTCTATAGGTCTTTATTAGTGACAAACAACGCGATATTATTTACCATATATGTGTATCTAAGGATACTATCCTCCATTAAATAGATAGATAGATAGATAGATAGATAGATAGAAAATAGATAGATAATTGAACAGACTGATCTGGTACGATAAGGGCAATTTAAATTTTGTATATAGATTGTCCAGATAATGAACAGACTGAGATAGATAGATAATGAACAGACTGAGATAGATAGATGATAGATAGATAGATAGATAGATAGATAGAATAGACCCACACCAGTAATGAACAGACTGAGATAGATAGATAGATAGATAGATAGATAGATAGATAGATAATGGACAGACTGAGATAGATAGATAGATAGATAGATAGATAGATAAGAATCTATCGTTTTTTATTAGTTCGCTAAATGTTTTAGATAACAAAATTCGATTAGTGCATACATAATACTCGATTAGTGCGATAAAAGTTTCTTCGATTTAACCATAGTAATTGAAAATTGATTGTTTTATGGTCAATGATTAATTAAATATTTTCTAAAAATGAATAAGTATTTTGTTATTCAAGAATTACAATACCTAATTAATTACATTATTATTAAAAAAAAAGTTTATAAATCGACACATTTTATAATATAAGCCGATAATAAAATACATATTTGAATATTTGTCTCTGTTAAAATTTTTTGAACATTATAATTTTTTTATGTTTATTTTGAAGGTTTAAAAAGAAATTTCAAATTTTTGGTTAAAAGAATGGATGAATTATTTAGATAAACATATTTACATTTAATAAAAAGATATCGAACTATCAAAGATGTGTGCATTTACTATCAAAATGAAATACATTAAATTATATGTTTGGAAAATTTGATGGGGAATTTCGCAGTACCGACAATTATATGAAGAACAGAAACATACCATTCGGCAAACTAATTTTTTCATAAAAAAAAAATCAGATTGTCTGTCTATATTATGTGACGTATTATGTACATTATTCGGACTATTGTCCTCATCTTTGTCGCCATATTTCTTACAATGTTTCGGCCCTTCAGTATACGTCTATATTTCTGAGATGAGGTATTATTGTACATTATTGTTAATTTCCGTCTGAAAGTTCTCCACTGCCTGAACCGGGTATTGAACTCAGACTCTTTGGGTCCTGTCACTGGATAAAGTGGAGTGGAGAAATTTTACAGGGAAATTAACAGGTGAAGATAACTGATCACTGACTTCCATTAAACATGGCACGTGGAACTAGAACAGTACACCCCAGTGAGCGAAATAAAGGATTCAGTTCGACATTCCAACCACCGGAAGAAGGCCGGAGCGTACAACAACCGAAACGTTGTAATTAATATGGCGACAAAGATGAAAACAATAGTCCGAATAATGTAAATAATGAAAATCAGATTAATATTAATTTATAGCATTTTTATTGCATCTTCTCATATGTACCTACGTTTTAATTAAAAAGTAAGCAAATTACAATTTAATTGTGAATGAGACTAAAATTTTACGTGAAAATTACATCATTTCCTATAAGTTATTATATTTCGATTAATGTGTTTTTCGATTAGATCGTATCTATTAATGTACAAATTAGTCGCTCTAATCGATGGATACCCATATATATATATATATATATATATATATATATATATATATATATATATGTGTGCGTGTGTGTGTGTGTGTGTCATTATTAGTCATATTGCCATTTGATATTTTAATTTTTTGTTTTGTCTGTCGTCACATCTATATATGTTTACATTGTTGTGTGCGACTCTCTTTAGTGTAGATCGACATTTACGTTGTCCCTTTTCCACATTAATAACATTTAGTTGTTGTACCATTATATATTTTGGCATGTTCTTACAGTATCTGTATATACAATTTTAAAAATAAAAAAATAGCTTCAGGATAGTAAACGTCTATCAAGTAATATGACATATAATGCTACGGTAACGAAAAATATTAAACGAAGAAAAATAGATGCAACAGGAAAAATTCTAAAGAAAGTTATTATAATAATGTAATATATTTCGAGAGAAAATATGTGCTAGTAATACTACACTTTGTAAATATATATGTGTCTACAACAATAATCATCTCTACTGACATTAAATGAGAAATTATTTAAAAGATATGTACCACCTTACGATATGCATATCAATAATTGTAGTGTACGAAGAAAAATACTGAAATATTTAGTTTAAGAAAATAAAACCTCTTATCAAATAAAAGAATGAAATTCTAGACAACTGCAGATTTATTTATAAACTGATGAATAAATAGATTAAAAAACTATAAATCAATAAATATTTTCATCTATTTCAAAAGGTCAAATATAATCCATTTTAAATAGAACACTTTAAATTTTATTTACAGGTAGAACATTTCTCACCGTAAGCCACATGTAGACATTTTAACTCAATTGCCGATTTGCATAAGATCTGCATAGGTTTGTCAAGCTGGCTGTTGATTGATTTTCTCCACTTATTAAAATGTTGTCCTTGCGCAAAATTTAAGATAACATCTCTCATTTTATACATATATTCAATCAAAAAATGTCGAGCGACTGCTGCCGCGTGATTAGAAGTTTCAGATAAAGAAGCGCTATATCGAACCTGTTCAGAAAACGAATACGAACAAACACAGACCTAAATATATAATATATATATTTAACAAAAATGGAACAAGGAGAGAAAGGATTTTAATTCGGTATTTTCGGACATGCCTGTGTCCTTTATCTACGACCTGTGGTACGAGCAAAGAAATGGGAATTACTCACCTGGGATGTTTTTATTAATAAAGTATTTTCCAGTGGTAATCGTATTATGATCAAAACACATATCTTAGTGTAATCACTGGATGTGCGAATATTTTATTAAAACAAACTGATATTTTGATCCGTGTAAAAGTACTAGGGAGATCTTTTGTAACTATTGTGTGACGGGAGAGTGATATTGTAAATGCTGGTGATTAGACTTATAGATTGTGGAGGGGTAAAAAAAAATCTCGCGTGTAGCAAAAATTGACAGATTTTTTTATCTACTTCGTTCTATATATTTTGCTACACGGGTTTCGGTGCTTGTGAACGTCATCAGGCGGAGAATATTTATTTCCACATAATATTTAAAAGAATTAATTTTTGCTTCCTATGTTGCTTCTTATGTAGTCATTTGAATCCATTTTGAACTGGTGGAAAAAAGGTCCCTTTACTTGAGGGATAATAAAACAATTGGATTTGGTCAGAGAAAGGAAAAGATAGGGGGATGTCTTTGTTCTTAACATTTTATGTTCCCGTATCTCTTTTCAGTCCTTTCTCTATTCCTGTGTATTGTGTGTGTGTTAGCCAGCATATATATATATATATATATATATATATATATATATAAATATAATATATATATATATATAGAGAGAGAGAATGAGAGAGAGAGAGAGATAATATTAGTGGTTAATATACACATACATTTGCAAAATATATAAATATATATACATACATGCATACACATACATATATATTTTTTGAATAAAAACAATCCAAGAGGATAGAATCCAGGTAGAACTCAATGTCCAGGACAGAGTAAGAATATACTATAAAAGGCTCAGACACTAATATTCCATGGTTATAATTTATTACATTGGAATCGTAATCACGGTCCAAATTCACAGACCTCCAAATTCAAAAATTTTCTTCCTGAATTTGTAGGTCTGATGATTTGGATGAAAAGGCCGAAACGTTTTGATAAATATGACAACAACGATGCGGACAATAGTCCGAATAATGTAAATACTGTACATAATACCTCATCTCAGAAACTGAAAGGCCAAAACTTTGTAATAAATATGGCGACAATGACGAGGACAATAGTCCGAATAATGTAAATAGTGTACATAATACCTCATCTCAGAAATATAGACAGATACTGAAAGGCAGAAACGTTGTGATAAATATGGCAAGAAAGATGAGGACAATAGTCCGAATAATGTAAATAGTGTACATACGTTATATCAGAAATATAGACAGATACTGAAATAATAATATAGTGTATATCTTATTATAAATCTAGTATACTGTATAACTTATTATAAATCTTATGTGCTCAAGAGGCGCTACTTTCTCACCGTACCACTGATCACACGATTTATGCCTCCAACCTCTCATCGTAAGACTGTAATCCTCTTGAATATCTTGTGTGGGGAGTATGGAATAAGAAGGTGAACAGCATGCCCTACAACACCAAGCTGGCACTCAATGCAGAGATCAGCGACGCTATGGCTAATATGAACAGGGACGCTGTTTTTATTACCCATTATTTTTCCGTAATTTTTCTGCATTACACTATATATATATATATATATATATATATAAGCATTAAATTTATTTTGCTTGTAGAGTTTTTGCACATTTAAATTACTATCAAACGTTAAAATCTGTTTTTATCTAAATTGCTAAAGCTATACCACCCCTCTTGTTCCTCCGAAAACACTAGGTACACCTCTTTTCTTTTTTTTTTATTTTTTACCTTATTCCCCTTTTCCTTTTCCCATATCATTTCCGTTGAGTTGACCGATTAAATAGGCCAATGTCTGATCCTTACCCGCACCTTTCTCAATATTAAGTATTATAATAAAAAGAAGAAGAAATTTTAAAACTCTCCCTTCCCTCTCTAAACTTGACCAAGTCTCCCACACCATCCCTCGCTACCTTCTATGTCAAATTATATAAGCTTAATATGGCCCGTCAAAGGTGTAAATTTTAATTTCATTTTTCGTTTTACCTTTTGAAAGTGATGTCTGAAGATCAAGGGAAAAATAAAAGTCTCTGTTGAAATAAATTATTACAATGGAGCCTTAAAATGATCTGTTTATCTTTATATATATATATATATATATATATATTCTCCTCCATCTGACTGGCAGTCCGTTAAAGGTTTATTAGTATGCGTATCATGTGGCGTGTCTTGGGCGTTTTACCTGACCGATCCCGTCCCCTCGACAGGAGAGTCGCTTATACTCAGCCAAAAATACATAAAGGAGTAACATTTCGAACGGTATAAGGATCACACGATATTGTCAGGCTCAGGGCTCTCCACTATTTCCTGTCCTTTGCAGCTCTTAATAAATTTTGTCGTTACGTTATTTCTCTTAAACCCTATTCTGCCATTCATTTACTTAAGCTCATTCTTCTTCTTGTATGTGCCGTGTCCCTTCAGGATATGGGCGATCATGGCTCTCCACACTTTCCTGTCCTTTGCATCTCTTAATAAATGTTGTCTGTTCTGCCACCCATTTAATTAAATAGTATATTACGCGGTGTTTTCCACTGTCCCATTTTCCCTCAGTCTGTCCGGTGAGTATCATATTTTCCAAGCCCTCCTTCCTCATTATGTGCCCCAAGAATTGCAACTGTCTCTTCCAGCGGTTAAGTATAAGTTTCCTTTCGATTTCCATTTTCTCTAAAACATCGTCGTTCCTTACGTGGTACCTCAGCATCCTTCTGTAGAACCACAATTTTGTTTCTTCAAGTCTCTGTACGCTTTTCTTAGTTTCTAACGAAGTTCTTTCAGTCTCTTAAACATCTCTGAGAATTGGACATCCTTTGAAATGCATCTTTGGCAATCGCAATGCATCTTCGGATTCCAGTGTTGCATCTTCCGTCCTCCGTTAGAACACTTCCCAGATATTTAAATTTTGGTACTTGTTTGATTTCCGTATCGCCGATTTTTAATTTGCCTTTTGGGCTCATCTTTTTGCTAATATGCTAACATTCTGTCTACTTGAAGTTTATGTTTAGTCTTTCCTTTTCGCTTTTCTTCACTACCTTCTGTAAGAGCACTTGTAGACTTATTTCCGTGTCTGCTATCAACACTGTGTCATCTCTATATCTTATGTTACCTTGGTTGCTGAGCAGTACCCACAGAACAGAGTGTAATAAAGAAAGTCGAATGCACATGAAAGAATCATCCGATGATGCACAAGATTAATTATTAGCCATTGAAAGTTTTTCGCAGATATGAACTTGAATATGTAACGTAGACTCTTTTCGGCAAAGACGACGATAGCTTGGATCAGTGAATTCAGTTTTAGAAATAGAAAGATATCAAATTAGTTTCGCAGAGCGCTATCTCCAGAACGTTTCAAGAGAAAAGATTCTACGCTGTAGAAATTGGTACGTATAACACGAATTTTGGGGTAATAACGCTGAGGGACTAAGGTTACTTTTATTTCTTCTCTGATTACTTTTAAGAATTTTAAGGTGAAGGAACCAAAATAATTGTAAATGAATTGTAATTGAAAAGAACAAAATAATTTTAAAAGTTTATACATTTTTTTCTGTGCTAGAGTTATCTCCTTCCCATGAGGACATCAGGTGGCATAGTCTTTGTTACGAAAAATCGAACCGTTTGAATAGGATTGAAAAATAGTAGAAGTGGAAGAAGAAATAATACTCAGAAATTCAGATTCAGTTCACAGGTGAAAACTTTCGAAGAATATAGAGAACATGAAATAAACATTTTGAAGAAGTTTAACCATTTTTAAGGAATGCGTATTTAGTATAAAATGCTCCTGGATATAAAATGAAAAATCGATTTATATCATTATTACGCAAGGAATTGACCTCCACCCTTTCATCACTAATTTCTTATTAATATAAATGGAAAAATATATTTAAAGATTTATTTACACATGTAAACATACTAATACGCGTAAGAACTTATGAAAATATGGCGTCGTCTTTTAAGGAAACAGTAAACTCGCTTCCATATCACATTCCTAACGATATTGCTTACTATTTCTATGGAATGTCTATTAATCATTTTTTTTTTTTTTTTGTAAAGTTACTTCAAAGAGAATTCCCAATTTGGTTTTAGTGGAATTTACGGAAAATGATCATTTGCATACAGAAGTTATTAAATCTTCAAAGACATTTTATTCAATTTCTGTTTTAACTGAAAAATTTATTTTGTATAACAGGAAATAAATTTCTTTTGGCCCAACTGGAATGACTGGTAATCATAGAAACATTACGACAGAATTTGTTACCCAGAAATATCCACGACGACAGAAGGAAAAATTCATATATATATATATATATATATATATATATATATATATATATATATATATATATATATATATATATGAAAAAAAAAATATACAGAAAAAAACAAACAAAAATCCTTATATAAAATTATGCTGTTTTAATGTTAATATGTCAACGTCGGACGTTTTGGTCTAATAAACCATCTTCAGGACATATTCATAAATTATAACATTATCAATACAACATGACAAAGACGATGTATTGTATTGATAATGTTATAATTTATGAATATGTCCTGAAGATGGTTTCGTCCGACGTTGACATATTAAAATTAAAACACCATAATTGTATATAAGGATTTTTGTTTGTTTTTTCCGTATATATTTTTCTTCATACTGTCGGATCTATATCCATATATTTGCTTACACACACATATATATATGTGTGTGTGTGTGTGTGTGTAGTTTAAGGAAAAGCTAAACTTAAAAATAAGCTAAAAATATAAAATGAGAGCTCAATGCAAAGTTAACAAAGTCTAAATATATTATTATTATCGACTGATTATCGTAAATACTATATATATATATATATATATATATATATATATATATGTGTGTGTGTGTGTGTGTTCCCGTGTGTGTGTGTTTTTTTGAGTGCGTGCGTGCGTGCGTGTGTGTGTATTTAGTAGCAATCTCTCTTTTTATACTAGTTACGTTAAAAAACGACTGACAAAGAACTGTGATTCATTTTTTTATTTACTTTTCTTTATGTTCTCATATTTTTCCTTTTCTTTTTTTAATATAAATTCTGCAGAATTTGTCTAAATATTCGCTTTCGGCTACACTTTTAGCTGTTATAAAGGACGATTTTATTTTTACATTTAACTGAATGCATGCATTATTTATGTATGCATATAGAGTCATAGGAAGGTTTTATTTTGCAAACACGCAATATTAATACCCAAACTAAAGGAGTTAGTACGGGAAACAAACTTGTGTGGCACCATTTAACGAGGCAGAAAAGGAAAGAAAGAAAAGAAGGCAGAAAGAAAGGCGAGACGAATCGTGGGTGATAAGCAGAACACACACACGGCTAAGAGACAATGGATATATTGATAAGTAACAAATGGCGAAAGGGTGTCATTACAATGACAGGGAAATTCTGAGTAACAAGAAAGGGAAAGAAAGAAAGAATAAGATGTGTTTTGGTAACGGCTGTGTTATCTAGGGGTACGTAAACAAACTGCTGGTCGACTGGCCAAAGAAAAATTCAAAGGAAAATGTTATTTCGATAAGTGACGAAAAACAGGCAACTAAAAGGACTTTGGACAGATAGGAAAAATTCATTGTATCAAAGCCACACGCACGACTGACCGAATTCTTTCGACGGAACATCCTTGGCCTGCGATAATAAAATTATGTTATCAGAAATATGTACCGAAGGGGAATGAATGGGAATTTAGAAATGTCTTTTCGGGGCGGCGTTGGCCGTGTTAAGAAGACCACCCATTCTGATTTATTGGCGATAAAATACCTGACGAAAACCACGTGTAGAACAAGAGTTATGACCGCCATTGTTCATATTGCCCCGTTTGTGGCTAGAGCAATGATAACGGCGATTAAGAGGAAGAAAAGGAAAAGAAGGGATAATTTTTTTTAGTTAAGCAAGATATCTTTTTTCTTCCTGGAACAAAGCCGCGGATTCGTCCACGCCCGACTAAGACATCATTGGTCAAGTGGTGATCACGTGACGCACGAAGGAGGCTGTCGCCGCCTATCCAGAGTGTAGGTATTAGAAGCTACTACGAAGAACTGGGGAGGGCATTTCACGCCCTCTGAAGAATGGTGAGAAGGTGGGAGTGAGGCAAGGTTCCCAAAAATGGAAAAGAGTGGAAAATCCCTAACCAGAAATAAAAGAGGTGGATATGTATTTAGAATTATCGAGGAACCCCTGACGCCGACAGACTCACCCCAGTTTTGGTCGGCGTCCATATGAGCGAAGCCCCAACGAGCAGAAATCAGTTCGAGTTCCACTAAGTTCCAGTTCCAGAGTTGAGTTCCAGGAGTTCCAGGAATTCAGTTCCCAGAGTCAGTCTCCAGTTGAAGCCGCCTCGCAGGTAGCTGACCAAGATTCACGCAAATTCCGGACTCCTCTTCAACCCAAGAACAATTATTTTGAAGAGCGACTTAGATCCAGACCACCGAAATAATTTTTTATTTTCGACTTTCGTCCGAAGACACACCGAAAAACCAATTTCTTAGAGAGCAAACAAATTGAAGCGTTAAAACTCGCCTAACGGAAAACGACGTGTCACAATCCATAGAACGGGTCGGGATATAGATGCAGTCCTATGTATCGAACAACTAGACATAAAGTTTGTTACCTTTTTCTTTGATACTTTGAACTTTTGAGTTTTCATTTTATTTCTTTTATGCATATTTGTGTGGTAGCACCCCCGTTGAACTCAGTTTGCATTACGGCCCCGACTACTGATTGATCTCGTCTGCCTAAGATCAATTCACAACGTGGGTAGGCGGACTGGAGATCAATGCAGTTACCTTGGTAACCAGGCGTTGGAAGCGAGTTGGGAACGACGAGGCTGATATCAAATCTAACCAGATTCCCACCCGAATCACCAAAAGGTTAGAACGTCACATTTGGGTGCCGCGACCGATACAAAGCCTGCTGGTCGTCACAGGACGAGACAACACGACTGACGCGACAGGCGGACGTCACGTTTGGAACAGCGACACCCGAACGGAGCAGCGAGGAGCGGACAGCTGGCGCTGCGGCGAGGATGTCACAATTGGCGCTGTTTGGGGACGTCACAACTGGTGCCGTGGTAGATCAGGATAGAATGTCACAGTTGGCGCTGCGACCAGGGGACGACGTCACACTTGGACCGTGCTTCACAATCTACTACATGTCTCTTGTTTAAAACTTTATTCCATTTAAACTATATATCCATTATGTAGATGTTTCTTTTGTTTTTTTTTAT